TCGGAGAAACCTTCGTCCGACCGCGATTTGTCAGCGATCTGGCACTCTGATATCTCAGAGACGGCCGTTTCGATATCGTCTAACACGATTGGCCGGTTGGGCGCGCCGAGAGCCTCGTAACGACTAAAGGGGTTCAGATCTCGTTCGGAGGGAAGCTCCTCCCACTCGCCAGGCCTGTATAACGGACAGAGATCCTGGGGTTCATCACTACAACGGATAACAGCGGCCATCATCATCATCATCAACATGAGGGTGGAGATGGTGAAATTAAAGAGAAAAACAAACAAAATGAACAAAACAGAAATATGACAAAACTTAAGGGATAAATGTGATTTTTGGAGTCAAAGCTGAACCAAAATGGAATGAATTAAAAAAAAAATGTAAAAAAAAGTGAAAGATGGTGGACTATTTCAGGTGATTTGCATCAGTAATTTTGATTCATCCCTCAGTTTGTGAGAATGAACAAAAATGTATCAACAATTGTAGTCAAGGACTAGTGGGAAAATTGCAGCATGGTGAATAAATGCTTAAAATATGCTACTATCACACTGTTTATAAAATATAAACTTACACATAACATTTAAATTTAGCCATTAAGCCTTTTCTGTAAATGTGTGGTTAAAGAAAAAATAAATAAATAATTTAATTAATTAATGCATAAGGTAAAGTAGAAAAATAAAATTTTTAAAAAGTTAAAATAAAACATTTAAATAAATAAAAAATAAATAATGCATTTTATAAAAATAAAAATAAAATACGAAAAATAAATGACAATAAATGAATTCAAATAAATTACATTACATTTACATAATTAAATAATATAATATAAGATAACATAAAAATAAAATAAGTAAATCAAAATAAATAAATTAAATTACATTTAAATAAATTAATATATGATGTAAAATAAACAAGTTAAAATAAAATAAATGACATCAAAATTAATTAATTAAGTTACATTTAAATAAATAAATAAATAAATGCAATAAAATAAATACAATTTTAAAAAAGTAATAAAATAAAAAAGTAAAATAAAGGAGTTAAAAATAAATTAAATGAAAATAAAATAAATTTAAAAAGTAAATGAACATTTAATTTTAACAAACAAAACAAAACAACTGGATTGTTATTGGTCATTCAGCATATTAAAATATGAAATACTAAATTAATTAAATTTTAACCGTGGACCCGTAAATATTTACTGAACCAAAACTGAGACCACATGACATAATGCTTTTTTTAAATGTCATTTTATGTCATAAAAAGCATTTTTGTGATAAACAAAAAACAAAGGATCTGGCTGCTCATAGATTACATAATAAAAGTCCTACTGGCATATAATCAAATCTTAATGGTGCTAAAACAACATTTTGTTGCCATCCCAAAACAAAACCTAAAGCTTGTTTCGAGTGGTAAACACAAGCACATAATCGTTTAAATAAAATATTTTTAAAAACCATAAACATTAAAAAATCTGTTACTTTTAGAGGTAAATAAATAAAAAAAATTTAAAAAAAATCACTTTTTTTTTACTACAGTAAAATAAATATTAAATATAACATAAAAAGGTAAATAACCTTTTAGAGGTAAATAAATAAAAAACACCAAAAATAAAAAAAAATTGTATAAATTGAACGT